TGAGTTGCAAAACTCATTGTTAGTTCATGAACAGAAGATAAATCACTAAGACAAGCAAGAGCAAGCAGTGCAGATTTCGCAGACACAAGCCTTGCAGACTACAGTTAATTCAAGGGTTGTAGGTCGAGGAAAAGAAAACTGGAAAGGCAGACCGGGATCTGACAGACCGAGATTTGACAGATTGGAGGAAAGTTCAGCCACTGGAATTCAAAAGAGGTGGCAGAACAGAAATTATCAAGTTGCAGATAACAAATCCAAATCTGCAAGAAAGGCAAATATTGAATGCTTTAGATGTCATAAGTATGGCCATTATCGTTCTGAGTGCCGTGCTAATCTGAATAGAGGAGAAAGTTTCAATTTTGCAGAACATAACAAGAAGAATGATGATTCCTCTCTATTCATGGTCTGTCATCCTAAAGAAGTCAGCAAGAAGAATGTGTGGAGGCGAATCTGCGTTTTCAGATTTGGATGAGTCTTGTCAAGACAAGGTGAAATTTGGTGATAATTCCACTATTGCAGTCAAAGGAAAGGGAAAGGTAACCATTTGTGCCAAAGACAATTCAATTCAGACTATTTCAAATGTTTTGTATGTACCAGATTTAAAGTCAAATTTGCTTAGTCTGGGACAGCTTCAGGAAAAAAGATATGAAATCCTTATTAAAGATGGAGTTTGCCAAATTCGTGATTCAAAACTTGGTCTGATTGCAAAGGTCAAGATGACGGGAAATAGGTTGTTTCCATTATACTTGCAGACCACAAATCTGTCATGTTGATCTGCCAGATTAAAGGACACAGCTTGGTTATGGCATTGTCGATTTGGACGTCTTTATTTTGGTGGGTTGAAAGCTTTGCAGCAGAAGAAGATGGTAAATGGTCTTCCTCATTTTGATTCTCCAGAAATTTGTGAAATCTGCGTGGTCAGTAAACAGCACCGTGACAGCTTTCCTAAAGACAGATCTTGGAGAGCAAAGCAGGTGCTAGATCTGGTTCATTCTGATCTGTGTGGACCCATAAATCCAACATCCAATGGAGGTAAACAATACTTTGTTACCTTTGTTGATGATTACAGTCGCAAAACATGGGTGTATTTTTTGTAGACCAAGTCAGAAGCCTTAGCAGCCTTTAAAAATTTCAAAGTCTTGGCTGAGAATGAAGTTGGCAGATCTGTAAAGGTTTTGCATACAGATCATGGTGGTGAGTTTAATTCAAAGGAATTTGCAGATTTTTGTGAGTCCAATGGCATTAAAAGGCAACTCACAGCAGCTTATACACCTCAACAGAATGGTGTATGTGAGAGGAGAAATCACACAATCATGAATATGGTGCGAAGTCTGATGTCAAAGAGTGGCTTGCCTAAGGAGTTTTGGCCAGAAGCTGTTAATTGGAGTGTTCATATCTTGAGCAGAAGTCCCACATCTCCACTTCCAGATTTGACGCCAGAAGAGGCTTGGAGTGGACGTAGACCTACTGTTGATTACTTCAGAATTTTTGGGTGCATAGCATATGCACATGTGCCAGCAGAAAAGGAGTAAGCTTGATGACAAAGAGGAAAAGTGTATTTTCCTTGGTGTTAGTGATCAGTCCAAAGCTTACAGATTATACAATCCAACCAAGAAGATCATCATTAGCCGTGATGTGGTGTTTGATGAAGCAAGCACTTGGTCTTGGACAAAAAAATCTGGGCAACAGATTCCTACAGATTTCGAAAATGGAGAAGATCTGACTGTGCAGAACTCAGAAGGTCAAACTTCAACAGATCTCGAGGCTTCCAGATAGACAACTGAAGAAAGTCTGCCTACAGAAGTAGAGTTTAGTACTGGAGGAAGTCTGCCAACAACACCAGAACTGGAATTTGGAACTAGTTCCAGACCTCAACGTAAAAAGAGAAGACCAGCATGGTTGGAAGATTATGAGGTAACAGATCTACCTCAAGATGATGTTCCAGTTAATCATTTTGCTCTATTTGTAGATTGTGATCCATTGACATATGAAGAAGTTGTTAAAGAGGAAAAGTGGCAAAAAGCCATGGCAGAAGAAATTGGTTCTATTGAAAGGAACTAGACTTGGGAGTTGACAGATCTTCCAGAAGGGTACAAAACAATTGGTGTTAAGTGGATCTATAAGACAAAGCTCAAAGAGAATGGGGCAATTGACAAATTCAAAGCTCGCTTGGTGGCAAAGGGTTACAAGCAAGAGTTTGGCATTGATTATCAAGAAGTTTTTGCTCCATTTGCAAGGATAGATACCATCAAATTGGTGATTGCATTGGCAGCATAGAACTTGTTGTACCTATGATTTTGATGATTACAAAACACATTTGAATGACTAATTGGTTTATTTAAGTGTGTAGTTAAGTTGCTAAAAGATTGCAAGTAAACTTGGATGGCACTAAAAATAGACCAAAAGGATTCAATGTGCAGAGAGCCGGCTCTTGAAAGCTGCAGCCGGCTCTGGTGAAATGGAATGCAGAAAGCCGGCTTTGGAAGCTGCAGCCGGCTCTACAGGCAAAAATTTGAAGACCGTTGTTTGGCGCACGCGGAGAAAAGACGCAAAGCCGGCTCTGGCTTTGCAGCAGGCTGTGAGGGTGCATTTAATGCCCAACGGTCGAGTCATTTGAAGATTATTAATGTATTTAAAGTCGGAGTTGCAAAGCCGGCTCAAAGTTGTGCAGCCGGCTCTCGAGGAAAACAGAATGTGCTGCAGACCCGGATAGCCGGCTCTGGAAATGTAAGCCGGCTCTGCAGAGCCGGCTCTAATATGTTAAGTCGGCTCTCCTGACAATTCTGCAGCTCGAGCTTTGTGTCCTGCAAAGCATTTAATGACCCCCAACGGCTAGAAACAACTATTTTCGAGCAAGGGGCTATAAATATGGTTGGTAACAGATCTGAAGAGGTTTAGAGAACATTGCATTGAATATCTTTACCTACCTACTTGAGCTTTAACTTGAGTTTTAGATCTTTGAGTGATCATTGCTTGTAATCCTCTTCTTGTGCTTTTAGTGAGTGATCTTGGGGGTGTGCTGATTCCTTCAAGAGTGATCTATTGAGAGGATTTGTGGGGTTCACATTGTAAAGGGGTGAGGTTTGAGAGAAATACTCATCTTCTTGTAAAAGGATTGAGTGGCTCCTTTAAGCCACCCTTGTTGTTGTTAGTGGAGAGTGTGGAGGAAATCCTTGGTGAGTGAAGCCAAGGTAGAGGATTAGGCTCCAAGTGGTTGGGCCGAACCTCTATAAATCATTGAGCAAGCTCTTCTTCTCTACTCTTTTTAATTTTGGTTTTGTGGTTGCAAAAAGGGAAGAATTTTTGGAACTCCAATTCACCCCCCCTCTTGGAGTACATTGAGTCAACAGAACTCATGGCCAATCTATCAGCTTGATGTGAAATCTGCCTTCTTGCATGGAAATCTGCAAGAACAGGTATTTATTGATCAACCTCCTGGTTATGTGAAATCTGGTTCTGAGCATAAGGTTTACAGATTGAAGAAAGCATTATATGGACTAAAACAAGCACCTAGAGCTTGGTATAGTCGAATTGATGCTTATTTTTTGAAGGAAGGTTTTCAAAAGTGCCCTTATGGGCATACACTTTACATCAAATTTATAGATGGTGGTAAATTGATTATAGTATGCTCATATGTTGATGATTTAATTTATACTGGGAATGATTTTGGCATGTTCGAAAAGTTCAAGCAGTCCATGAAGCTTGAATTTGAAATGATAGATCTGGGTTTGTTGCATTATTTTCTTGGTCTGAAAGTAGTATAGTTAGATTCTGGAATTTTTGTTTGTCAGAAAAAATATGTGCAGGAAGTTCTGGATAGATTTCAAATGAAGAACTGCAATTCTGTCACTACACCAGTTGATAAAGGTGTAAAGCTCGTGAAAGATCTAAGAGGCAGATCTGTGGACAGCAAACTGTATAACCAGATTGTTGGAAGTCTGATGTATCTGACAACAACAAGACCAGATATAATGCATGGTGTAAGTCTGATTAGCAGATATATGGAGCATCCAAAGGAGTTGCACTTGAAGACTGCTAAAAGAATTCTCAGGTATTTATGTGGAACTGCAGATTTTGGGCTATTCTACAAGAAGGGTGACTAGACAGATCTCGCAGGCTTTACAGACAGTGATTATGCTGGAGATCTGGATGACAGAAAAGCACTTCTGGGTTTGTTTTTATGTTGGGATCTGGTGCAATTTCATCGTCTTCAAAGAAGCAGCCCATTATGACTTTGTCCACAACAGATGCGGAGTATGTGGCGGCAACTTCTTGTGCTTGTCAAGCTATTTGGTTGAGAAGAATTATGGAAGAACTTGAGCTGAATCAACATGAGGCCACTTCAATTTATTGTGATAACAGTTCAACTATCAAGCTTTCTAAAAATCCAGTTTTGCATGGGAGGAGCAAGCATATACATGTGAGGTATCATTTCTTGCGCAACTTGGTAGAAGATGGAACAATTGAGTTGATTTATTGCAGAACAGAAGATCAAGTGGCTAATATATTCACAAAACCCCTCAAAGTAGCAGCCTTTTCAAAACTGAGAGAGTTACTTGGTGTTTGCAACATGCAGAATTCAATTTGAGGGAGGGTTTGCAGATTTCAGATTGCATATCTGCAGATATGGTGTTATCCAGATTTCTTGAAACTAAAGTCTGAAGACTTTCAGTTTAAGGGAGGGATTGTTGGAAATTAGATCCTATTATTTAGCCATTATCTCTATATTTTAGGAAGTTTAAGTTATTTATTTGTTTTAGATTGTTATCATTTAAATTAGATTAGATAAGATTGATTAGTTATCCTTTTAGATAATATTATCTTGTAAAGCCTATTTAAAGGCTAGATTATTTTCAGTTTAATGAGAGATTTAGTTTTTCATTCCATCTTCTTCTTTTCGGGAATCCTTGATTTTTTAATAGACTCAACAGTCTTGCTCACCGAATGTTCCATCTTATTGAATATTAAATCATTCCTAGCCCCCCATATATGCCAAATAATAATGATGAATAAAAAAGACCAAACCTCTCGCACCTTTGCATTAGTGAATCCACTAATAACTTGCCTGTAATCAGTATGGATAGCACCCATCAATCTCGCCTCGATATCCCACAACAAAAATATCTTTGCCCATACTTGTCTTGCAAAAGCACATTGCAACAAGACATGGTTTAGCTCTTCCACCCCAAGTTTGCAAATTGGACAAATAAGCTCCCCACCTTCAGCTTCGATATTTCCCCTATCCAGATTCAATTTTGTTGGTAGCCTGTCAAGAAACATCCTCCATGCAAAGAAGCCGATTCTTCCTAGTAGAAATTGGTTCCATATTGCGTCGCACACATCTGCATCAAGAATTCTCTGACTTGAAAGCATCAAAGCATCAGCTTTTTTAGAAGTATATAGTTCGTCTTTATCAAATTTCCAAATTCTTCTGCCCTTTTTCTCCTTAACCAAACCAGCAGAGCTAATTAGCTCCACCAATTTCTGCTTCTCATCATAGTCCCTACCAAATAAATTCCTCCTCTATTTTAAATTCCACACCCACTCCCCATTGCACCAATTCCCCATATCACTAATTTTTCGATTTATACCCCCTGCCATATTTCTAAGTCTCGGAAACACTTCACCTAAAGGGTCATCACTGTCACGCCCCAACTTAGGGGTTAGGACATGAAAATGCCACATACCTTTAGGAGTGACCCCAAAAGCATGTAAGGCTAAATCAGTCCCTAAAATTCATCCCTGCAGCTTTGCATAAAATTTATTCTTCACTTTTAAGAAAATTAATAGAAAAATGTATATATGATAATAATACTCCATCATCTAAAATCAATTCTACACCAAGAATCTGAA